ATGCTGCTTCAAAGACAAAAAAGGAAGGGTTTTCTGCATCAAATTGTCACTGGCGATGGAAAATGGATATACTACGACAACCCTAAACGACTGAAATCATGGGTGATGCTATGTGAACCAGGTCCATCGACTCCAAAACGGGATATCCACGGTTCGAAAGTTATGTTATGCATTTGGTGGGATCAGAAGAGCGTTATTTATTATAAGCTTCTAAAACCGTCCGAAACCATAACTGGGGACCGTTACCGACTGCAGTTAATACGTTTGAACCGAGCATTGAAAGAGAAACGACCGGAATGGGATAATAGGCACAACAAGCTGATTCTGCTACATGACAACGCTAAGCTCGACGTCGCATAACCAGTCCGAAAGTACTTGAAAGGATTGAATTGGGAAATTTTACCCCACCCGCCGTATTTACCAGATATTGCTCCTTCGGATTTCCACTTGTTTCGGTGCATGCAGTCGGCCCTTTCTAGAGAGCGGTTCACTTCTCATAAAGGTATCGAAAAATGGCTTAATGAATAGATCGAGTCAAAAGAACCTGATTTTTCTTCGAGGAATCCGTTTATTACTTGAAAGATGGGAGAAAGTTGTCGCTACCAATGGGACGTACTTTGAATAAAATTATTTTGTATTTTTTCGTTTAAATAAATGACTATTTTGTATTTAAAATGGGCAGAAACTTATTCCCATACCCAATAATATAAAGGATGAAAAGACTAGAGTCTGTTTCAAAGTATATATATAGACACATTACGGTGCTATTTCCTCTCCTCTTCTGCCCCCTGACATATATAAGGTTATTCAAAAAATATTGAGCCTTTTGCACACGAGATAGCGATAGTGTCCCAAATCTCAGGATATATGAGTCGCAGCAGGTCAGACCTAACGTCATTTGATAGCTGACAGTTAAAGCTAGTAGACGTACAAAAAGTGTTGGAATTCTATTATCAGACGTAAGGTATTGCGCCGTGAAGATGAATGAACTTTCCGCAAAACTGCGTTACATTTTACAATTTTATTTCGACAAAGGCGTAAGTGCTACGCAGGCCTGTGAAAAAATTTGTACTGTGTATGGGCAAGATACGTTATCAAAAGCAGCAACCAAAAGATGGTTCAATCGCTTTCGTTCTGGAAATTTTGATGTACAAGATGCTTCTCGCAGTGGGCGACCAATCACAGAAAAAGTGAATAATATTTTGGCAAAAATCGAGCAAGACCGGCATGTAAGTAGTCATGGCGTCGCCAATGACCTAAACATCCATCATCAAACATCCATCATCAAACATCCATCATCAAACAGTGTTAAACCATTTGGAGAAAGCTGGCTACAAAAAGAAGCTCGATGTTTGGGTGCCACATGATCTAACTCAAAAAAATTAACTCGATCGAATTTTTATCTCCGAATCTCTATTGAAATGTAAAGAAATCGAGCCATTTCTGAAGCGAGTTCCACTTTGATCACGAGTGATGAAAAGTGGATAACCTACGATAACAATGTGCGAAAAAGATCGTGGTCGAAGCGAGGAGAAGCTTCACAGTCTGTGGCAAAGCCCACACTGACGCCCGGGAAGGTTATGCTGTATGTTTGGTGGGATTGGAAGGGCATCGTGCATCACGAGCTGCTGCCGCCAGGCAGAACGATAGACTCGGTCGGACCTATACTGTCGATAATTAGCGCAATTGCACCTAGCAATTCAAAAGAAACGGCCGGAACTGGTCAACAGAAAGGGTGTTGTATACCACCACGCTGACAACGTCAGACCGCATACATCTTTAACGACCCGTCAGAAATTGAGAGAACTTGGCTGGGAGGTTTTAATGCATCTACCGTATAGCCCGGACCTGACACCGTCAGACTATCATTTGTTTCGGTCTCTGCAGAACTCCTTGAATGATGTTAAGTTAGTTTTAAATGAGGCCTGTGAAAACCATGTGTCACAATTTTTTGACCAGAAACCACAGAAGTTCTATAGCGACGAGATTATGGTATTGCCAGAAAAATGGTAGAAGGTCATCGAACAAAATGGTGCATATGTGGTTTCGTAATGTTATTTACAAATAACAATAAATGTATTCTCAATTTTTACCTCCAAAAGCTCAATACTTTTTAGACAACCTAATGTAACCACGTAGGTATGTGTAGTAAAATCGACGAAACTAGTGAAAATGCATTTTACGTTGGATTCTAAGGGAAGATTGCATTTATGATTTTACTGTTCTCATGTAGAGAATCAACAAGATCAAATAATATGACTTCAATCACGGAGCTCCTTAAAAAATATTTCTAAAAACCATTTTTATATACAGGGTGTTATAAAAGTCCCGGAAGAACAGAATAACTCAAAAAATATGAGTCCTAGAAAAAAAATGCTAAGTACTGAGTTTTTATGATTTTTTCCTGGCTATCTGAGGGTGACCTTGGATTTGACCTTGACAATTACCTTGAAGGTCATTTCAAGGTCAGGTCAATTTTTAAAAATGGGATCCTATACTTTTGATCCCAGAAATTAAAGGAGCGGAAAATTTTACGTTCGTATATGACCTTAAACACTGCCAAATTTGACCTCTGAAGGTCACATAAAGGTATAAGCTTGTTTTAAGCTGAAAACGCGAATATCTACGAAAATGCACCTGCTAGGGAGCAATGTTACGCATAAGAATAAGAATGTAGAGGTCAACGAGGGACATTCAGCCGTGATCTTGCCTCTATTCTCAAGGTCATGAGTTAAGATTATTATTAAGATCAAACCGGATTTTTTAGGACTGAAAATCCATACTTTTGACCAAAAGTGTCAAGATTGAAAAATTTTACGTTCGGATATGACGTTTTCAACCTTGACCTTGTCCTTAAGGTTATGTGTCAGTCATATCAAGGTCAATTAATTTTTTTAGGCTGGAAACACATACTTTTACCCCCTCCCATAATGTGAAGAGTGAGATTTTACGTTACGTACGAGGTCACACTCCGATTGTTGGTAATTCCTCAATATCGGGCGCTATTTTGAATCGGTCATCTTGAATTTGTAAAATCCAACGTCGGATTCGATTTCAGAAACGACTTCAAAAACTCCTTAAACGAGATTCAATTTTTGTTATTCTTAAATATCGGCCGCTATCTTGAATCGGCCATCTTGAATTTGCAAAATACGACGTTAGATTCGGTTCCCTCGTTGACCTCTACATTCTTATTCTTATGCGTAACATTGCTCCCTAGCAGGTGCATTTTCGAAGATATTCGCATTTTCAGCCTAAAACAAGCTTAGACCTTTATGTGACCTTCAGAGGTCAAATTTGACGTTGGTGTTCAAGGCCATATCCGAACGTAAAATTTTCCGCTCTTTTCATTTTTGGGGTCAAAAGTATGGGGTCCCATTTAAAAAAATTGACCTGACCTTGAAATGACCTTCAAGATCATTGTCAAGGTCAAATCCAAGGTCACCGTCAGATAGCCAGGAAAAAATCATAGAAACCCAGTACTTCGCATTTTTTCTAGAACTCAAATTTTTCGAGTTATTCTGCTCTTCCCGGACTTTTATAACACCCTGTATATATACGCCATTATGGTTCCAAATTTATCCGTTTTATCATAGAAAGTACATATATCTTCCCTAAAATTCCTAAATAAATCGTCATTCATACTAAAAGCGCCCCCTATGATACATTTTCACCAGTTTCATCGATTACACATACCTACGTGCTTATATATGTCAGGGAACAGAAGAGGAGAGGGAATAGCACCGTAGTGTGTCCATATACAGTGCCAAAAGTTCCAAGCCACTTAAATAATTCCTGAATGGTATAAGATATTGGATTGAAATTTATAGGAATACAATGGGATTACAAAATCTATCATTTAACCACAAAAGTATCCAGCTCTACATTACAGAGGGGCGGGGGAAGTGAGAGATCGGAAAATCTTAAATGACATATGGGGTTGAGTGAAGACTCATTTGAAAGGGCTTTCAGAGACAAGAACAACGCGGGATTGTCGAGATCCCTACGATTTTTTTTCGCAGAGTTATGATCATTTAAACATTTCTATTCAGATTTTGCGATAAAGAGGCCACGGCGAGTAAGATAAGGCTTTACACGTGTTTCTACGTAAGTGGAAGTATGTGTTTGTGTGTGTATGCGTATGTGTGTGTGTGTATATGTATGTATATGCGTGCGTGCGTATATGTGTATGTTTGTGTATATGATGTGTGTGAATGTATGTGTATCTGTGTGTAAAACGTATCCATAACGATAGTTATAAGATCTGGTGTGATTGAATTCGATACTATTTTTTCTTGCAGCTCTTCTAAGTTTGCAGACCTAGTCTAATAGACTTTGGTTGTAGCTATTTAGTTGTGCTATGGAATATGGAATGTGTGTAATATACGCGTTCAGCCATACGTGTTTACATGATTTGTGAGTTGCAATCAAACTATAAGTTCCAACTATAAAATAGTACAAATTCATATGCAGTTGCTTTAGAATTTTGAAAAGCGGTCTAATTCCTTATTTGCTTTAGTAATTTTCATTTTAGTACATTTCTTTTGTTAGAAAATACACTTCACTGATACGGAAAGGATCACTATATTGATGATGAAAGGGTATACTGTGGAGCTTATAAACCACGGAGTCCTTATCCTCGTGGCGAACATGCACGCACGCACGCATACGCACGCATAGACACAAACACACACACATACACACATGTACGGTCGTGGACATAAAGGTAAGAGCCCGTTTTTTTTTTTGCAACTTTTGGAATGCATCCCGACTCGAGAAGAATGAGAGTCGCTGTTCCTGCGAAGCACGCCTGCGCAGTGACTCATAACGAAAGGCGAGAAATGAAATATACGCGGTGAGACATTAACTTATGCATTCGTTGCAGCTGATGATTCATCTCGTCCATCTCTTTCTCAAGACTGCAAAGTGGAAGTGATATTTTAAAACGATATCTTACGCATCATTTCCACGCTTGGATGAAAAGGTAAATATCTATAATTATGTTTCGTATTGTACATACTGTCAAAGCATTTCTTGAGAAGAACAAAGTAGTAAAATATAATGAAGAAGACATGAAAAGAAGAGCAGAAACGAAGAGAAAAAAGAAAAAGAAGAGAAAAACGAGAGGATGAGGCAGAAGAACGTTTAGCCAGTCAGTAAAATTAAAGATCGCTATGAGGTATCTGTCCCAAATTAACGAAAGCGAAAACTTACAGTTTTATATGTTGGTCAGTAGAAAATTATATCTTATACCAATAAAATTCATCTTTGTTTGAATCATGTATCCTACGATTCTATATAAATATTTTATAACTATAAGTAAAATTGAATATAAAGATGGCTCGTGGACTGGTGTTAAGTATGATGAAACTCTTAGGAAAAATGATGGAAGATACAAGCATACACATTTAATATCTCCTTATACTATACTAATACATATCCCTTTTTTGCTTAATTTAATTTATGTTTATTATATGTTTTCATTAGTGTTGGTAGTAAAAGATAATTTTAATGCGCACCAAAATACGATGGTTTCGTGAAACCAATGCATATAAAGATTAGAGATTTTCCTGAAGAAGACTTCGATTTAAATGAGGAGCTGTGAGCCACTACGATTGACTCGACGGACATCCTTTGTTTTATTACAATTTTGTTAAAATAATCTGATATAAAATAGCTTTTTGATGCAGATGCAAACATATACCTATCAATTAAGGCAAAATTAAAAAGAATAAAAATTGATAATACATTACAATATATTAAAATTAACGTTAATGTGTACTAACAATGATGGATGGGATATTACTCTATAGCTCTTACGCTCTTCTAATGATTAAGGAAAGTGGCTCTAGATTTTCCAGCAACCAAGTCCCATAGACGAATTATGCAGTCATGGCTGCCAGTAACAATCTAAAATATAAAGGAATTTTATTGAGCATTATATTTTACAAATTAACATACAGTTTCATTGCTGGCAAAGTATATTTAACGCTTACAAGTGAGGTTCATTTTGTGCGCAAGAGACGATAGCAGATGCGTTTTCTCGCAGTCGTAGGATTTCGCTTTGTTCACTCCACATTTACGCATCATTCATTCCCATTCACACACGTACATATACTTAATCATATTATGATAACAAATTTATATTACAATTGTAATATAATATAATTATAATATTACTATAAAATTATTATAATATGATAATATGACAATAGGCCCCGCCTATTGCGCGGCCTATCCGTCCATAAGCCCGCACATACCGCGCACCCCACCACATTATACCGTACCGACGCGCCTACCGAACGCAACCCGCGACAACGCCTTCGGGACTGAATTCTTGTACACATCTAAGTATCAAATAAAGCTAACATATTTATATTGCTATCCGACTTCTCGCTGCTTTCCTCTTCACAAAACCCAGATTCCGACAAGCCTGATCCGCGCAAAACGCGTAGCGACGACCGAACCGCGGAGTTCGGCCGTTACACGTTCTACTGCTTGAGTGTGGCATGGAAAACCCTCAAAGTCTCAATATTTGAAGATAATTTCCTCCCGCATCATTTGGCTTAAGGACTCATTGTTGATAGAGTCAAGTACCGATGGTGAAGACACGACACAATTATCTCAGACAATCATGTCAATATTGGGGACTTGAATAAGTTCTCGCTGTTTCCCGACAGATGGTGTTATCTTAGCCTTTTTGTATCGGGCAATACTACAGCCAACTTCATCGTGAAGCTCCACCATTAGGCTCGAAGTGACAGTATATGTTATTCCATCGAAGCGTAAACAACATATTTTTTATAGCGTTAAACATGTCGAATTTCGTGCCAAAAAAAGAGTATTTGCGGGGAATTTTACTGCATTACTTTTTTCTAAAAAAATCTGCAGCTCAAGCACATAGAATTCTTATGGAGACTTACGGCGATCATGCTCTGTCAGAAACAACATGCAGAGATTGGTTTAGACGCTTTAAAAATAGTGATTTTGATGTTGAAGATAAAGAACGCTCTGACGCACCGGAAAAGTTTGAAGATGAAGAATTGGAAGCATTACTCGATGAAGACCCATGTCAGACGCAAAATAAACTTGTAAAATCATTAGGAGTTGATCACACAACAGTTGTCAAACGTTCAAAAGTATTAAGAATAATTCAAAAGCAAGTAAATTGGGTGCCGTGCAAATTGAAACCGAGAAACATCAAACGGCGTTTTTCCACGTGTGAACAGCTGCTTCAACGGCAGAAAAAGAAAGGTTTTTTGCATCGTATCGTGACTGGCGATAAAAAGTGGATACACTACGATAACCCGAAGCGTAGAAAATCGTGGAGCCCGACCATGCATCAACATCGACGGCAAAGCCGAATATCCATGGTTCCAAGCTCATACTCTGTATTTGGTGGAATCAGCTGGGTGTGGTATATTATGAGCTCCTCAAACCTAACGAAACCATCACGGGAGATCGCTATCGACTACAACTGATGCGTTTGAGCCGAGTATTGAAGGAACGGCCGCAATACGAGGAGAGACACGACAATTATTTTGCAGCATGACAACGTTCGGCCACATGTTGCAAAACCGATCAAAACCTACTTGGAAACGCTCAAATGGGAAGTCTTACCCCACCCGCCGTATTCACCGGACATTACTCCTTTCCATTACCGCTTGTTCCGATCGATGACTCATGACTTGGCTGAGCAGCACTTTCATTCTTATGAAGATGCTAAGAAATGGGTCGATTCGTGGATAACCTCAAAAGATGAATCGTTCTTTCGACATGGTATTCGTATGCTGCGAGGAAGATGGGAGAAAGTATTGGCTAACAATGGACAATACTTTCAATGACATGTTCTTTACTCATTTTTTTAAATAAAGCATTCATTTTCACGAAAAAACAGCGAGAACTTATTCAAGTCCTCAATACTAAAATGGAAATTACTAAAGCAAATAAGGAATTGGAGCGCTTTCCAAAATTCTAAAGCAACTGCATATGAATTTGAACTATTTTGTAGTTGGTACTTATAGTTTATTTGGTTGCAGCTCACAAATCATGTAAATACGTATGGTTGAACGCGTGTACTACACACATTTCATATTCCATAGCACAACCAAATAGCTACAACCAATGTCTATGAGGCTAGGTCCGCAAACTTAGAAGAGCTGTGAGAAAAAATAGTGAACGTTTCGAATTCAATCACACCAGATCTTATAACTAACGTTATGGATACGTTTTACACACAGACACACACAAACACACACACGCGCGCACGCACACGCACACGCACACGCACTCGCACACGCACTCGCACACGCACTCGCACACGCACACGCACACGCACACGCACACGCACACGCACTCGCACTCGCGCTCGCACACACACGCACACGCACGCACACGCACGCACACGCACGCACACGCACGCACACATTCATACTTCCATTTACGTAGAAACACGCGTGAAGCCTTATCTTACTCGCCGTGGCCTCTTTATCGAAAAATCTCAATAGAAATATTTAAATGATCATAACTTTATGAAAAGAAAATCGTACAGACCTCGACGACCTCGCGTTATTCTTGTCTCGGAATGCCCTTTCAAACGAGCTGTTACTCAACCCCAAATTTCGTTTAAGATTTTCCGATCTCCCTCTCCCCCCGCCCCCCTATAATGTGGTGGTGGGTGTTTTATGGTTAAATGATAGACTTTGTAATCCCATTATATCTCTATAAATTTCAATCCAATATCTTAAACCATTTAGAAGTTATTTAGGTGGCCCGGGACTTTTGGCGTACACTGTATGTATTTATGTATTTTGTATCAGACTCTGCAGTCTTTTCATCCTTTATATTGAGTATATTCAGTTATATACCTATATATGCCGGTAGAGCTCCATGTACCTCCGTTTAGGTTGGAATCGGCTAAATATTACTTCCAAGGATCTAAGAAAGAAATTCCACTCATTTTAATCCAATTTTGGAGAAGGTCGAAAATAGGCCTTATTGACCCTCTGCTTTCCTGTCGCGATATAATTTGACATCTGCTTGATAGAATAAAGTTATCGATAACGAATATTATTTTGATAATTAAAATTCTAACTCTTCTATTGTGTAAATTTAATGGATATGAATTATGGTAACCATGCGAAAAATATGGAAAACATATTTCTATTGTTATTTCTTCTATGTTTTTTATGTTTACTTGGTTTCACTTACGCTGTTATTTCTTGATGCTTTTTAATACATGATACCACATGAGCCTCATCAATAGCTCTCTGTACTTCAAGAGCCAACATCTCCAATCTGGCTGCTGGATAGAACAGGAGGACAGCGATTGTAACATCCACGCCGAGGCAGAAGACGGTATGAGCAATTACAAATATTTCCATGATATAAATAATAAACTTTCGTAATAACGGTTCCGTTGAGAATGGGTACCATATTTCTATAGGGAATTCCAGTGGTAAAAACAAAGGCGAAAAAATGACTGTAAGTCCTGCTATGATGAAGGAGATTGCGACAGTCAAGACGAACGTTATATAATGGTCTACATATTTTTGCAATATAATTGTTTCCCATCCTTTTGAGACTTTCACAAATTCTTCAATGTTCACCAACAGGTTCTAAAGTTTATTTCAAACAATTTATAATCATCGATAACATTTGCGCGACTATATTTTATATATATGAAGTTTGAATAAAAATTTATATCTTATTTTCCAAAAATAGTACTCGAACTTTTAAACTTTAAAATCTATTATTTTTTAAATACTTTATTTTCCTATAAACATGCTTGCTTAGCTGTTAAAAATTCAATTATAAATATAAAAAAATATAAAAAAGAAGATTATTAAGTATCACCTAAGATCTTTTACGAAAAAACACTTAAGTATTTACACTCGATTTTGAAAATTTACGTTCAAATTTAGGTATATATATTTATATTTTAAGTATCTACACTGAATATTGAGTATTCACACTGAACATGAAATATTTATACTCTAACATTAAGCGTTTCCGCGAACGATTGAATATTAATACTCACAATTGGGTGTACATCTTAAAATATGGAGTGTGTATATTTAATAACTGAGTATCCGCATCTCAATTTAAATCTAAACACCGCATATTTGAAAGTTCACTCTGAATATTTGAATATGACACTGAATAAATAAGGATAAACCCTGAGCTTTAGAGTGTTATTCTCTACAATAAATATTCTCAAGAGTCACCAAGCGTTCGCTCTAATAATTTATATTAACGCTGAAATGTTATGTGCGAATGCCCGTAAAATTTAAAACTGCATAAACATGATTGTTTAAATTATATAAGTAAATATAGCTGACTTAGAATATTATGATTGCAATTTATATAATAAACTCTTCTTATATAAATTTTTAAAAAACAATAAGTAAAAAGTGTAGACTTGGTCCATCGTGGGGAATGAACACATCATTTCTATAAGATTTTAACCTGCTGAACACGATGCCGTCGTTAGTTTCATTTTAAACCCCGGGGAACATGTTCCGAGGATTTATCATCCAATAATCGAATGGCCCGGGAAGCCTTTGCGTAAACTTTGAAGTTATTTCGAACTCGTGTATTAACTAA